CTCCCCCCAATCCCACCCCCAACCCTACTCTCACCCATCCTGATCCCATATATCATAAATTTTAGAATTTGAGTCAGTATCTCTTAGGTTTTATTCAGAGACTAGTGATAAAAGCTTTGTTTGACTCGATTCAAGTTTAGCTCGACTTGATTGATACTATAACAAGTTAAGTTAAACTCGACTCGATTGGACTCGACTCCCTCAACTTACGCGTGAATAAATAATAAAAATGTGGACCCCTCAACTAGGAAATTTCCAAGAATCTCAACCAACAAATCTTTGACTTTATTCGTAGCGTACTGAGAAAAAACTTCATACCATAACAAATTTAGTTAAACTCGATAGAGTTAGGCTCGACTCGACTCAACTCAACTCATAAAGAAATATACCCTCCGTCCCATTTTATATGATGTACTTTGATTTGGCACAAACTTTAAGAAAAATGGAAAGACTTTTAAAACTTGTGGTCCAAAATGAATGATAGAAATTTGTGTGGTTGTAAATCATTTCATTAAGGGTAAAAAAGACATTTTATAGGCAAATTGTTACTTAAAATAGAAATGTGTCATTCTTTTTGGGACTGACTAAAAAGGAAAGTAAGTCATATAAATTGGGAAGAGGGAGTACTAAAAATGTGGACCCTACAACTAGGAAGCTTCCAAGAATCTCAACCAACAACCCCACAAAAACAAGTAGTGCAATGCACAAAAAGTCATCTCTTTCCCCGTGCTTTCTTCCTACACGTGAAGTTGACGGAGTCTCCATTTTTCTCATTCGCCATTAACGCTTCAGTCCAAACTTCACCTTATCCAGCTCCCATTTTTCTACAATCTCTCCATTTATATTTTCTTGCTTGACCCGGGCTTTTTTGGTGTTTTTTGAGAGTTTTTTTTTATCTTTCTGTTCCCAAAATCACCTGTTCAACCTAGAATCAATCTTATTTGTTTGATCGGAAAATCAATTATGAGAGGAAAATGGGAAGTAGTACGACTTTGGGTGTTGTATTGTCTACTTCTATCTGGTTTTTTTCAGGGAGTTTTTTCTGCTTTTAACCTGCCTCGTCCACCATGGAAGAAACAGTCAAATTTTGGTTCCTCTGTTGTTTTTCCACTTGTTGGGAATGTGTATCCAAAAGGGTATATTCTTTTTCCACTACTTCTTTTTCTCAATGATCTATACCTTGTTGTTATTGTATGCTCTGTGCTACTTTGCTATTAGCTGTCATGTTTTTTCTTTTAATTATTGTTTTGATTTGCTTGAGCCGAGCTTCATTCGGAAACAACCTCTCTGGTAAGGTTTTCATACACTCTATCCTCTCCGAACTCGACTTTGTGGGATTTTTTTGTTTTATCTATATAGTATCTGCTTGAACTGCTAATGGGTGTCAATGAATCTTCTGCAAAAAAAAAAATGCTGATTAAAAAGTTTACAAATTCTTAAAGGATTTTGTTATTCTGTGTGTAGCAATAAGGACATGATTTTGGTTGGAGGTGGATTCAGTATTTAATCTCTATAGGTTCAACCTTAGAGATTTTTTAGCATTGAATTTTTATACGTAAATTTATGTTTCGTGTTGAAGTTAGATAGCTGCATTTGCTATTGATGCTGGTAAAGATTATATAATTAGTTTTATCTATACTTTTTCTCAACTTTTGTGTATTGATTTATTTATTTATTTATTTGTGATGTGTTACTTTTCTTCAGTAGCTGGAATATTGGAAGGGTTCTTTCGGCGTATTCTTTGATTTGATAATCATCTTGCAAATTTTTCAGCATTTTTGCGTGGAAATTTCGTGTACATTTCCCATAGACTTGAATAGTTTGGTGTGGTTCTCCATTGGAGTATCCTATGATTTCCTAGTTTATGTACTTAAGACTTTAATCTGTCCTGAAGGTTAGAACGTATTGTGAATCTCTTTCAGATGAATCTATCTGATTTATTTTTTAGACAGGAAGAACTTGCAACGGTATTTCAATTGGAACATGGGTTTGATTCACACTCCATGTCTGAAGAAAGATGTATCGTCTGGAAAGAGGAAACAACGGAGTCTTTGTCTAAAGAAATGAATTGAGAAAGGACAGATGTATCCGGGTTTCCGATGTTTGAGTAGATGAGAAGTCAGTCTTTTACAAGTGTCTCTAGAAATCATGACTTATTGGTCTACGGTAATGATGGTTCCACAAGGGGGCTTCTCCATGCAAATATTTTCTCAGGGGCCTGTGCAATCGGGGTCCTCACTGATCCTTTTCTCATTCTATACAAGCAAAGAGGCCCATTTGCAATTTTTTCCTCTCTTTACTATTGATACATGTAAAGAGAAGAAAAACTTGCATGTGGGCCTCTTTGCTGGTATAGAATGAGAAAAGGAATAGTCGGGACCCCGGTTGCACATGCCTCTCAGTAAATATTTGCACAAGGACGCCTCCCTTGTGGAACCATAATCACCATAGACCAATATATCATGCTTTCCAGAGACATCCCTAGAAGACAAACTTCTCATCTTTTCAACATCGAAAAGGAAGAACTTGCATTATTATTTCAATTGGAACATGGGCTTGATTCACCATCCATGATCGGAGAAAGATTTATCGTCTGAAAAACTGGAGTCTTTGTCTAAAGAAATGCGTTGAGAAAGGACAGGTGTATCTGGGTTTTGCTGTGATGCAATGGGCTTGTTTACACAAAACATTCCTCTGTTCATTCTAACTTACATCAGCTAGCAATTTTATACGAGTTTTTGTGTTGGGGATGAGTTCTTGGCTCACCATGAGAAGATTTGTTGCTAGTTTCTAGAATTTGGATTTCCTTTTGTATTTGTGTTTGAAATTCGTAAAACTTGCGTATTACTTGTTTCCTGTTCTCTGTCTCTTAAACTCATATATTCGATTCATGTTCAGGTATTATCAGGTGACACTCAATGTAGGCCAACCCCCCAAACCTTACTTTCTTGACATAGACACAGGGAGTGATCTCACTTGGCTCCAATGTGACGCACCTTGTGTAAAATGTATTCCAGTGAGTACTTCTTTTTATTCCTTCTGCAGCCTAGCTCTTTCAAGTTACACGGAAGATTATTAATATGAATTCAAATCCAAAATCACATGTAAGTTGTCAGAAATATCTTTCCTAATTTCTGCATATATGTATGACATTGCAGGCACCTCACAGTCCGTACAAACCGAATAAAAATGTTGTCAAGCATAAGGATCCCATATGTGCATCACTTCACTCACCTGCAAACCATCCCCGTCACACTCCTGACGATCAATGTGACTATGAGGTTGAGTATGCGGATCATTGTTCATCCTTGGGAGTGCTGGTCAGAGACGCATTTCCAGTAAAATTCACCAATGGTAGCTCCATTGCTCCTCCTCTGGTGTTTGGGTAAGAAACTGATAAACTTCTCCTTAAAACTAACCTTTAAAATTGTCAACCAACAAAAAGAATGTTACTTCTTCCACTTTCACTGCTAAAAGGATTGGAATCAACAACAGCGAAATCTGTTGCTGTTTCTATTTAGCAATGAGTTAGGGACGGATTATCAAAAAAAATTGATAGCTACGAGCAATTTAGTGATGAAGTTTGTTGCTAATTCTAGTTTTTTTTTTTTGTAGTGTTTATTCTGTTACTGAAATTGTGGTGCTTGTGATTCATGAGTTTGTTTTCCCTTCTGTAGTTGTGGGTATGATCAAGAAGTGCCAGCCTCTGAGCATGCACCTTATACGGATGGAATTCTTGGCCTAGGAAATGGAAAATCAAGCATAGTATCACAGTTGAGTAGCTTGGGTTTTATCCGGAATGTAGTAGGTCACTGTTTAAGCGGGCAAGGTGGAGGTTTTCTTTTCCTTGGAGATGATGTTGTCCCGTCTTCTGGGATTGTTTGGTCACCTATCGTCCGTGGATCTTCAGAGTATGTTCTATCTGTAGTTGGCGCTTTTATATGGAAATTTGCACTTTGCATGCAAGATGTGAATAAACTTTTCTGGATTACTATGATTTCAGGAAACACTATTCTTTGGGACCGGCAGATCTCCTTTTCGGTGGGCAGGCAACTGGAATAAAGGGTCTACCGATAATTTTAGACAGTGGAAGTACCTTTACCTACTTCAATTCCAAAGCTTACAAAACTCTGTTGTCTTCGGTAAGATCAGAAAAAACCAACATCCTATATGCTTATGACTTATCATCTTTTAGGCTTAGGACTTATGATATTTGCTGATTTCAGATTAAGAAAAACATAGATGCAAAGCAGCTGACTGATGCAGTGAACGACAAAAGTTTGCCCGTCTGCTGGAAAGGCTCCAAACCTTTCAAATCCCTTAAAGATGCTACGATGTACTTCAAGCCATTGACACTTAGTTTCACAAAAGCTAAGAATATTCAGCTTCAACTGACACCGGAGGCTTATCTTATTTATACTGTAAGTGCTCTTTAAATTACTCCGTGAATCTTATAATGCTGCTGAGAAGTATAGCACATCACGATACTGATATTTGTATCCTCTCAGGATAAGGGCAATGTATGCTTAGGGATATTGAATGGTTCAGTGGTTGGATTAGGAGATGTTAATATCATCGGAGGTATGACAGAATGAGGCATCTTCTTTTTGTGCTGTTCAAAATTTTTGAGGTTGTCTTCTCCCAAGAAAATGTACAACAAAAGAACACACATGACCAACATTTTCTCAGAGGAGGAGCACATCAGTATCGAAATTGTTGTCCACATTTTAACTTTCTTTCCTCATTTTCTCTGGATTTACTTATGCAGATATTTCTATGTTAGACAAAATGGTGATTTACGACAACGAGAAACAGCAGATTGGATGGGTTCCAGCAAACTGCAACAAGCTTCCATTGTTGTCCTGGTAGGTCGTCCAAACATACGTTTATCTTTGCTTGTTCATATTACTTCTGCTACTGGAGCTCACGCGATACCATTTTTGTTCTTGTATTGACAGAATATATCAATGATTACAGTGAAGATTTTGGTGACATATGCAGGCAGAAAGTATGTCAGTATTGTAAGCATACCAATGTTTGCTATATTACAGAAGAACATATTTTAGTTGATTTGTAATACAGAAAATTCACTGTAATCACCCATAGAATTATATATTTTTATAATAGCAGCCATATGTATATTCAGTTCATCCCCAAATTTCTCTTTTTCTATATATATATTACAACGTAAAACAAGGAGATGAGTTTGAACTGGCGAACTAAAGTCACTTTCGTAACTCTATAATTCATTGCAGAAGTGAATGTGGAAATTATTATTGTTATATTTTATTTTATTTTAAAAAAAATAAATAGGGGTAGAGGTGGAGGTGGGAGGACATCCATAAAAAGAGGGAATTTGCTTATTTATTTTTGTAGAAATTATACAGTATGTTTTCTAACAAAAAAAAGCTTTTTCTCCCCAATCGAGGTGATAGATCACCTTATGGCCGATGTGATTACCAGCTAAAGGGCAAAAAGACGGGGTTGAATGCGACTCTACCAATACCAATCTCCTCTGGAGCAAGGAAAAGCAACTCTTGCCTAGTATCGATAACGATTAACATATTCTTTTTCCCCACTTTAAAAATATGATTATTTATTATCCCTACTTTAATAGAATCGATCTTAATTGCAGTCGGTTTCAAATTAGCTATAAATTGCAGTATTCTTAAAAAAATGTTATCTTGATAATGTTACCAAAAGATTGTAGTAATAAATTTGTATAGTTATAAAATTTTGCTTAACCTATTATAGTCATATGTAGTTGATATATAAATGTAGGATGGCGTGATAACTATCTCTTTCCCCTAAATAATATGTAGCGCGGTTTAAATTTCAAGCGTTAAATTTTTTAATTTTGATCTTAAATATAAAAATTAAATTTTTAAGTTTTCTGAAAAGAAATTTACATATTTGAGATGTAGGATATAAAATAAATACTATAAATTAAAATAGTTAACAATTTCAAATACTTTAAAAGCATAATAAAAAAAGTTGCGATAAGAAAATAATCATTTGACTCTCAACATTCAACTAATGTCATATATATTAGGACGAAAGAATAATAATTTTAACACATTCTTTTAGTCAGAAGTGTGAATGTTTTTTAAAAAAATTGATGAACAGATTGAATCAATTATTAAATTTCTTTTAATAAAATCATAAGTCTCTATGAATATATGATTGTGCTGAATAATTAAAATACTTAATTAATCAAATCGTATCAATACAAAGGAGAAATCAAAATGATAAAACAATTCTAAAAAGTCTAATTTTAATTATACAAAATAAACTAGCCGAAAAGTTAAACACCATATAAATTTTATAAAACAAGCATTCAAATCCTATCATTTAACACCCCTAGTTTTAATACTCCCTTTATTTCAAAAAGAATGACTCATTTTCCTTTTTAATCTGTTTCAAAAAGAATGATCTCTTTCTTTTTTTTGGTAACATTTTAATTTCAGATTTTCACTGTTTAAGGCCGCAAGATTAAAGAATAATTTTGTACATTTGACATAACTTTAATTTAGGACCACTAGATTCAAAATTCTTCTTTATTTTTGTAAACTCCGTGACAAGTCAAACTAGGTCACTCTTTTTGAAACGGAGGGAGTAATAATATTTACAACCCCCACCCCCAAACCATAAAACAAGTCAATGCTCCATTTCTTTTTAGTATATATATATCACTTATTCTAAATTAGTCTCACCAAGTCCTCTCTCATTTTTTACTAAACTTTAAACTTTTATTTGTTGATTTTTAAGCCATTTGTTATCTTTAATCAAATAAATCATGAAAGGGAAATGGGTACCATCTTGGGTTTTATCAGTGTGGTACATTATGCTTCTATGTAGATACTTTCATAATTGTTCTGCCTTTACTCTACCAATGAAGGAACAATCATATTTTGGTACTATGGTTTTTCTCCTTGATGGGAATGTCTATCCTAAAGGGTATATTTTCAATTCAATCTTTACTTTATCTTGTGTTGTTCATACACTTTATAAAGTTTGATTGAAAGCGATTTAAATTCAACTTGTCTTTGATTTGATATCCCAACAAGTTTGATTGGACTCAGCCTGACGCCCATATGATGAAGAGCCCCTGCCCCTAGTAATTTTTTAAGAATCTCAATCAACAAACCTTATTGTTATTGTTACGGTTTTTTTGCATGTATAATCCTATTAGTTTTATGGATTTCCTTTTATATTCATAAAACTTGCATATTACTTGTTTTCTGTTATCTGAACTCGGATATTCGATTCATGTTCAGGTATTATCAGGTGGTACTCAATGTTGGCCAACCCCCTAGACCTTATTTTCTTGACGTAGACACAGGGAGTGATCTCACTTGGCTCCAATGTGATATACCTGGCGCCAAAAATCTTCCGGTGACTACTTCTTTTTATTCGCTCTTTCCAGTTAAACCAAAGATTATTAATATGAATTCAAATCCAAAATACTCAGAAATATCTTTCATAATTTCTGCATATATATGACATTGCAGGCTCCTCACCATCCTTACAAACCGAATAAGAATTTGGTCAAGCATAATGATCCCATATGTGTATCCATTCATGGTGCAAACCCTCCCGGTCACACTCCTACCGATCAATGTGACTATGAGATTGAGTATGCAGATCATTGTTCATCCTTGGGAGTGCTGGTCAGAGACGCATTTCAAGTAAAATACACTAATGGTACCTCCATTGCTCCTCCTCTGGTGTTTGGGTAAGAAACTGATAATAAACTACCTTTAAAATTGTTAGCTACGAGCAGTTTAACGATGAAGTTTGTAGCTAAGCTTGATTTCCCTTGTGTAGTTGTGGGTATGATCAAGAAGTCCCACGCTCTGGGCATTATACAGATGGAATTCTCGGTCTAGGAAATGGAAAATCAAGCATACTATCACAGATGAGTAGCATGGGTTTAATCCGGAATGTAGTAGGTCATTGTTTAAGCGGACAAGGTGGAGGTTTTCTTTTCCTTGGAAATGACATTGTCCCGTCTTCTGGGATTGTTTGGTTACCTATCAGACGTGTATCTTCAGAGTATGTTCTGTCTGTAGTTGTTGCTTTTGTATATGGAGATCTGCACTTTGCATGCAAGATGTGAATAAACTTTTCTGGATTACTATGATTTCAGGAAAGAGTATTCTTTGGGACCAGCAGATGTCCTATTTGGTGGGCAGGCAACTGGAATAAAGGGTATACCGATAATTTTAGACAGTGGAACTACCTTTACCTACTTCAATTCCGAAGCTTACAAGACCCTGTTGTCTTTGGTAAGATCAGGCAAAACCTCCATCCTATATGACTTATCATCTTTTTGGCTTTGGACTTTTGATATTTTGCTGATTTCAGATTAAGAAAAACATAGACACAAAGCAACTGACTGATGCAGTGGACGACAAAAGTTTGCCCGTCTGCTGGAAAGGCTCCAAACCTTTCAAATCCCTTAAAGATGCTACGATGTACTTCAAGCCATTGACACTTAGTTTCACAAAAGCTAAGAATATTCAGCTTCAACTGTTACCTGAGGCTTATCTTATTCTTACTGTAAGTGCCTTTTAAATTATTCTATGAATCTTTTAGATCACGATACTGATATTTGTATCCTCTCAGGATAAGGGCCATGTATGCTTAGGGATATTGAACGGTTCGGAGGCTGGAATAGGAGATGTTAATTTGATCGGAGGTATGACAGAACAAGGCATTGTTCTTTTTATACCTCGAAAATAATGTCCTCTTTGGAGAAAAAGATTGGATTAATTTTGCTGTTTTTCTCTGGATTTACGTATGCAGATATTTCTATGTTAGACAAACTAGTGATTTACGACAATGAGAAACAGCAGATTGGATGGGCTCCAGCAAACTGCAACAAGCTTCCATCGTTATCCTGGTAGGTCGTCCAGACATACGTTTATCTTGCTGTTTCATATTACAGCTGCTACTGGAGCTCACACGATACCATTTTTGTTCTTGTATTGACAGAATATATCAATGATTACTGTGAAGATTTTGGTGACATATCATAGGAAGAAGCAGGCAGAAAGTATGTCAGTATCGTACGCATACCAATGTTGTAATACAGAAAATTCACTGTAATCACCCATAGAATTATATATTGATATAATAGCAGCCTTATATGTATATTCAGTTCATCCTCAAATCTGTCTTCCATATTATATATCTATCACAAAATAAAATGAGGAGTTGAGTCTGAACTGGCAAACTGAAGTCACTTTCGTAACTCCATAATTCATTCCAGAAGTGATTGAGCCCTAAAAAAAACTAGTAAAGAGCATTTTACCCTTTAAATAGACCCTCCAATTGACCGTATGGTTATATACAGGCACAAAAAAAAAACTATACAACTAAAATCAAGCTCACCATTAATTATCATAACCAAGAAAACACATAGGAGGGGGAGATGAAATGATTAAACAAAAAAAAAACTGATCAAGACGAGAAGTATCTGCAGTTTCAGCATTTTTGGATATCAAAAGGAACTCCATCCTCCCTTATGAGATAAATATGTACATGACAAACTCTTCTATAGTTGATAATTTAAGAGTATATGAGAAACCTTTTTTCGCGCTGTTGCTACTGAAATGATTTCACAAGTCAAAACCCCTACTTCTATGCGAATTTCCATAACATTAACTCTCCGAGCTGCACATCATTCAGGAGCTGATCCTATATCTAGACAACCTTACTCAAATTTTGATTAAGGAGTGTTGCAAAATCACCAGGCTGGACGCCTACAGGAGGATGCAGTGAGAAAACATACGAGACAGGCTTCGACTGCACCATTGGCTTTCTGGCTCTAACCTCATCGAATAATTCTCCAAGGTTCTGTTCATCAAATAGAAATGAATCATTGAGAAAAAAGCAGCACTCCCTTGCCAGCTTTTCCACCTGAAGCAACAGTGTCAAACATTCAGTTTCAGCTAAAGTAAGGGCCGGGGGGGGGATAATCTGAATCAATGAAGCATTTCTATTAGCACAGATGCGATTTAGGGCGAGGATGAGTAGGAGGAGAGAACTATTTGCAGCATGAAAAGAAATACGGAAGGGGACTAAGGTTTTATAAGGAGACTATATTACAAAACTTGCCAAGATTTATCAACGGTTCAAAATAACTCAAGAGCCTCAGCCAATAGAAAAGAACAGAGAAACATCTTTAGTTTTTTCCAAATGAGATTTTCAGGCATTCTCTTCGAAATGTGCATTGCTGTATGACAACTTAAAATAGCACTCATATTCCTGGTGGGAGTGCTTCCCCCTTAAAGGGGTCCTACCCAGCATGAATCTTAATTAGTAAGCTTGGATCCCGGATACCAAATGGTTAAACATAAAATATATTTATATATATATATATATATATATATATTGAGACAAAGCAGCTCCACATACAATGAATATTTTCATGTCAATTGTCAACTTCCGAAAAGCTCAATTACTATAAACTAATTGATATAGATTTTGCATTTATGTTTCCAGGTTCCTTTCCTGCCCCATTACACCCACAAATAGCACTTCAGACAGAACTGTCAGAAAGATAGGAGAAGTTAAAAAAATTCAGGGAGAAACTTCTCGAGGAATCTCAGGAAGTTGCTCAAAATTACCAAAAATATGCAATTAACTTCCAAACTTGTCTCTTGTCAATTAACTTTTTAAGTAGAAAGCACTAATCCAGCATCTATTGGGGATTACCAAAGCCAGTATGAGTAAATTACCTGTAGGTGTGAGAAACGTATGTTATTCATGGTGATAATTACTTTAGCTTCATTTAAGGCATCTCCAAGCATCCGGAAGGCAAAATACTCAAAAAAGGTCTGCATCATGCTCCTATCCCCTTCTTTATGTTCTGCTTCAAATTTTGGGAACCATAGGACACATTTAACTTCATTCCATGGAACTGAACTCCCTGCAGTTTTGGATATTATCGTGTTGTATGGATGTGAATGGCCCCACAGAATTCTGACTCCAGTTGGTAACTGATCAAGTGTGGATTCATCTCGAAGGGATGTTGTGGAGATTATCGAAGATGGAGCATAAAAACGTGCAAGATGCGATGAAAAATATAAATCATTGTCATCTAGTATGAGGATGCGCCCATGATAGGGTACAGGAAACCATTGCAGAAGTGACCACATATCAGCAGCATCATTCTCCGGCAGGCATAAACTTGACAGGACACCAGAATAAGCAGATGGAACTGAATCGTGAGAAAACAAACATGAATCTCCATTCCGGCATCCCTATAGATATGTAAATTTAGAATATGTCAGATAGGAGTATCAATACACTTGAAAAAAATTGGTATGAAGAAAATACAAAGAAGCCAAAGATATGCATTAGGGCCATCTAATATATGATAAATTTTTGGACAAGGTAAATAAGCACCAAAAAGAAAAATATTTTCCTCTTCTATCTATGCTTATTTTCAACTCCCCGAAGCATTTCGTCGATTCTATAAATATGGTACACAATTAAATGTTCATCTTCCCCATTCTCTCTCCTCCTCCCTTCCACTAATGCAAGCTCTTCTGCCTCCTCATTCTGTTATACACCTTCTCCTATCTCTTTCCAAATCCAAATCACCACTTCCCTCCTTCACCAAACTCCCCCACCCCCTCCCTTCACGAGTAATTACATACAGAATGTGAATATACATGCACTTGCAGATCATGAAATCTTATTCTACAAACAAATAATTAGATCACTTCGTTAAAATGGTAGCATGGTATATATTTCAAAAGCAGGTAAGCCGTACTTGTGATGATTCCCAGGTCAAATATGACTACTAAGATATATAATAATTGCCATGATACTGTTCTATCGAAGCGGGTGCTTTAGAAGTTCGGCCCGGTTTTTTTGGTGTCCTAGGGGAGTGTGATTGAAATTTCTAATCCAATAAGGCCCTATCTAGTGAGTAAGCTGGAGTCTCCAACCATGTGCCAGTTGTTCAACTGAGTGGTACAAGACTCAAAGATCGCACCACCTTGTTGATTGGGGCACTCCCAAAACCACCGCACAACCCCCTCCCCCACCCCCCCCAGAAAAAAAAAAAGATGTAACAAAATTACATCTGAGATGACTGATGCACCAAGGAAGAAATAAAGAAAGTTGACAAATCAGACTCTAATTTGATTAAAATCAGCTTACTGAATATGCTAACTGCGGTCACAAGCTTCCTGGATGAACACGTTAACTGATTTGCATTTTTTGAATAAAAAAAAGTTTTACGAGTTTATAGAGTAGACATTAGGAAGAAAGCTGGAAATTTTCCAATAGAAAAGATACAGGCTGGTGAAACACTGAGTGTCCCTCTTTCGGTACAAAGGCCAAGACTCAAGGTCAAGAATAAATTAGGTTTTTGGACAATATCTGAATTGGACTCAGAAAAAAGAGTATAAGCTTATGCAAGTAAGTAGATTAAAAAGGAATTCAGAAGTCACTTAACCTCTCATAATTAGACTAGACATTTTCTTCCTTACCTTCCTTTTTTTTTTCCAATAAAAATCTTTCTTCCTTAACTCACTATTCACATCATAAATTAAAATCAGGAAATATAGAATACTATTAATTTTATGAGGATCACTACAGGTGCTCATAGAATTAATGATGATATTCTACATGGACTATTCCCACTACGCAGAGTTTGACTCGAACCACCATAAAGATAATAGGAAAAAGCAACCCATTCATACTTTCAGCTTCAACATGCAAGTAATATAGGGGCATTTGCACAAATGGATTTTTTGAGACCACTACTCAAATTATATCCCATTTAGCCAGTGCGTTAAATTTGTCTACAAAAAGATGAATACACTCAACTATTTTTTAAGGTAAGATTTAGCCCACTGAGCTAGCAAAGACAGAAATTAAAGAGAGGCATCAAAAAAGACCATATCGCAGCAAGTATGACAACATTTCGAGCCATATTTCAAAGACATCTTTTTTGAAAATATCATAAGTCAAAATAATCTCATTGATCACGAAGACGGTGTCAATATACTATGTGAGTGCAGGGATATCTTTATTACACCAAATGAAGCAAAAATGAACTATTTACCCTCCAGAATGCACTCTCAACCCCTTCAAATATTCTTCTTAACTCCAAATCAACCCAAAAATACAAAGAGGAGCAACCTTCCTTAACTCCTTTTCCCTATCATTCATTTCCTCATTTTTCAATAGCCAATACTTTCTAATGCTACAAAATAGCAGCCTGCTCAAAAAATGGTTGTGGAGATTTGCTGAGGACAGAACAGCCTTGTGGAAGAATGTAATACAGCAGAAATATGGACAAAATGGTCAGTGGTGCACTGAAGAATCCACTAACACTTACGGAGCTGGACTATGGCGGACCATCAGGTTCTTCTGGAATAACCTTGGGAAGGACATTACCTTCCCAGTGGGCAATGGCAGAAAAATTCTTTTCTGGAAGGATAACTGGGGTGGTCAAGGCACTTTGCAAGAGGCTTTCCCCACCCTCCTTCAACATCAGCACCAACCAAAATAGCACAATAGAAGATACCTGGACAACTCAGAGATGGAACCTAATTTTCAGGAGGTTTATGAAATGATTGGGAGGTTGAGAGAGTGGCTGCTCTACTTGGTAGAATAGGAACTTTCACAGGTACCACCAATGACCCTGATATGATCAGATGGAGTCACAAGACAGATGACAAATTTTCAGTCAGCAGAATTTACAGGAGGGCCCTTTCAGAGCTGACAGGATGAGAAAGAGGTCCCTGGAAAGCTATTTGGAGAAGCATGGCACCTGATAAGGTGAAATGTTTCTCCTGGTTGGTAGTAAGGAGGGCATGTCTTACCCATGAAGCTTTACAGAAAAGGAAATCTCACTTAGCTTCCATATGCCCTCTTTGTATGGAAGCTGTTGAAACAAACAGCCACCTTTTGCTCCAATGCAAGGTAACCTCTCGGGTCTGGTCCTTATTCATCACCTTGGCTGGGGAAAGCTAGACAATGCCAGAGCACACAGCTGATCTATTGAGTTGCTGGATCAGAAGGGGAGTGAGCAAAAGCCAAAAGAGATGGACTTGCATATGGTGGACTATATGGAAGGAGAGCAAAAGAGAATCTTCAAAGGCAGATCAAACTCCATTCAGAAGATCAAAGGAAAATGCATTTCTACTTTATGTTTTTGGTGTAAAGAGCAATGTATAATAGATGAAATACAGATGGTGGATTTCCTGGGTTTGTTGTAATTAGCTATCTATGTAATCACACTTTTGGAGGTGGCCAGCATACCCTTAATGTTGATGCATACATGTCACCAGTTTTTTTAAAAAAAAAAATTGTTATGGGCAAAAACTTGAATAAGCCTTAAAACA